CTGTCTGCTTTTCTATATCTGGTATAGCTTTGACCATAGCAGTAACTATTGTTTCTATTTGTATATAAAATACCAATCTAATAAATATATATCAAAGTTCTTTGGTAGCTGTTGTCAACTTGGTTTGTAGTTTTGAAGGGTCAATAATTGTATAGATCTTGGTAGACATATTGATAATTGAAATGACATTGGTTACAGTGTTGAGCTTGCAATATAGTATGGGTTAGGGTTGTAGTGGCTCTTAAAGATTGTGTGATATAAATAGAAGAGTGACTGCTGGTATAGAGATCTATAGTCTATATACCGCTTCGCATAAAGTCAGAAACTCTCGTGCTTATGCATTGTATGCAAGCTACGAACCTCATACAAGCCATAACCTCATACAATCCATGAAATGCATATATGCCACAATTATTAGAGTTGAGGACCTGCATCTTCATTGTGGATCAGGTACTTACATGTAGGTCATCTATTTTTTCTCTCGCACATGTCTTCCCACACATCATGAAAACAAGAATGAGAACAAGGTCTAGTGTCTTTGTTTCGCGGTTGAATTATCGATATCATGACATCTCCTCCGAATCCATCTCCTCGGTATCATTAAACACCCTCCTACGCATAACACTTCTACTTTCTTTCTCCATCTATTACCATCCCATCCAAAACCCTTTCCGCGCATCAAAAAACCCCAACCCAACCCAACAGCGCGCCAAACGCGCAAGCGCCTAACTACCACTCCTCACCATCCCCTTATCCCCAGTCCCAAATCAACCCGTTCCCTCGCCCCCTCCCAATCCCAATACGCACAAACCCCATCTCTATCATCAACTACCGGTGGCTCCTCCGCCTCCAGTCGGCGAGCACGATCTTCCAGTTGGCGCATATATTCTGTGGCGGATAATGGACGGATGCGAGGAGGGGTGGGGCAAGGAGGCGAGAGGATGGTGAAGTAGAACAGTATGATGGAGAGGAGGATTAGCGTGGTGAAGATGAGGGGTGGTATAGCGTCGATGGGTTCCGATGCCACGTGGTAGTGGGTTCTTGTGTGACCTGAGACTTGGTGATCGAGGATTGGTTGTACCCCTTTAGTACGATTTTGGTAGTTGGCTATATTTTATAGTCAGAGTTGAGATGTATAAATCATGAGGTGGAAAATCGATATAGATGGCTTTGCTTACTGGATAGTTGGAGATACAGCCACTGCCGTCAATAGTTTGTAACTGTTTGTTGCGTATCCTGCGTGACAAGCTCTTCGGTCGATGGATCAGGTTCTTGGTAATATCGTGTGTCCTTTCTTCCTTCCTTCCTTCCTTCCTTCCACGTGGATATCTCGCGAGGCAGATATTGTTTGGTTAGGTGTAGGTTGAGGTTTTGCAGATTCCGCCGGTGCTAGCATGCTGGCCGTCTAGACGTCAGCCATAGGACTTGTGGACTGGCTTACGGAAAATGCTTAGTTAGTGGTATTTTGTTTGTTGAGGTGAGAGATCTGAATGCCGTGGTGGATGTTGAACATTCATCGCCATATAAACCCTAACACAAACTTATCAACACCAACACCATCTTTTCTCCCCGATGAAAGGTGATCTGGAAACAAGAAAACATCCACACAATACGTGGGGATAAATTACGCCCGGGCTAAAATTCAACTCCTCAGCCTAACCATACACCCACAATCTCCTACTCTCGTTCCTAGAATTTCGCCTCGCTCGCAAGCTCGCTCGGTGGGCGCGAGAGCAACAATCTCCAGAACAATAAAACCTATAAAAAAACCTATAAAAAAACACGAAACACGAAAACACCAGCCGAAATCTCTTCCAAAATTTCCACAACCGAGCTTGCGAAGTTCAAGAGAATCCTGACTAGATAATCCAAACCTATCCAAAAAAAACCCCTCAGACCCTCTCCTCTTCCACCCTCCCCCTCTCCGCATCCCACCTCATCTCCCTTTCCCACCTTCCCCTTAACTCTCCTAGACTTCCCTCACATTCATCCATCCCCCAAGCAAATGTACATCCCTCATACCACTTCGCCCGTTGCAACCTAAGTCTCGCCCCCAATGCAGTCCCAATACTACTCATCTTTATCACCGCCGTCCTCGTCCCCTCACAAATCGAAACATCCTCAAACTCCACAGTCAAATTCGAGGTCTGCTTCCGTATCTGCTCCATCAACACGTCCTCGCGGGTTCCCGGAGGCAGGTGGGAGACTATCAAAATCCGTGTCGCGTCTTCTCCACGTATCGCTTTCGCAATGTTAGGCTTGATAGGCTCGTGTCCGCCTTTTGCTCTCGGAATCGCCTTTCCCTAGTCAACTCCCCATCCCCCCCGTCTGTCATAGAAAAGTAAACTCACCTCAACAGGAGAAATTATCCCTACATCCCTCCAATACACCCCCCCGCTTTTTCTAACGTCTTTGATATACCTCTCCGCATGCTCTGCAAGAACAAAAAATACCCCAACACACGTCCGGTTCTGATGGTTCTGAAAATCGACGCGCTCAACACGCCCCCCGCGGATCTGGGGGATTATGTCGCAGACTCGTGTCCACATGGGAATGTTTTTGAGGAATACACCACGGGAATTGGGGAGAATGAAGGTGTTGAAGTGGGATTTGGTTAGTCCTGAGGTTGGATCGCCGGAGGGCGTAAAAGAGGGAGTGTAGGTGTAGATTGGCGTGGGGTGCGTGATGGGGGTGAGGAGTTGCAAGTGAGGAAGGTGAGGAGGGGTGATGGGGGAAAGCTGCTGGTGAGGAGAGGTGGAGGGAGAAGGAGGCCAGCCTAGGAGGTGTTAGTAGGCGGGCAAGAGGGGGGAGGGGGACGGACCGAAGTGTTGAAGGATGTGGTCTATTTCGGTATCATTTCTGTCGTCCAGCGATCGTGGGAATGGTTGGACTCGCAAGATGCGGAAAACACAGTCTGGGTTGGTGCAGGAGCTCATTCTTGATGGTGTGTTGAGGGCAATGATGGTGGTGAAAGGATGTGAGGTGGGCTACAAGAGCCTTCAAATGGCGCTAGAGGGGTTGAAGGGTTGAAGGGTTAGTCGCTGAGAATTGATAAGGGGGCACGGTAAAGTGCGTAAGGTGGGTTTATACCCCTGCATGAGATGTCACTCGGCGTCTGAAACGGATTTTTGTGACGTATAGGCCGACTTCTAGGGCTAGAAAGACACAGCCGTAGAGGAAAGAACGGAATCCGTCAAACCTGTGGCAGGCTAGGATCAAGCCACAGTGGGCAATATTGTTTCTTCTCGGCGACCCGTATATAATCCCTTCCCTCCCTCCTTTCTTCCCTCCTCCCCTCACAACAACCACAATGTCCACCCCCTCCCCAAACCTCAACTTTTCCCTCACAAACCCCTCCATAATCCCCTCCTACCACTCTTCAATCCCCGGCAACCGCTCGCTAATCCTAACAACCCTAATCCTCTCCGGCGCCACCTTCATCGCTTCCTCAATTTGGGGTCTCATCGTGTACACAGTCCCGTATGAACTCGTCCACGAAAGTAGTGAGGATAATGATCGCGACTCACTACTATATGGAACACCACCGGCCGAAAGACATCTTGCTGTGTTAAGGAGGTGGGAGGTGGGTTTCGTGGTTTTGTTCCCCGAGCCATGAAGAAAAGAAACTAATAGAGATATAGTATAGAATCAGTGCAAGCGGGAGGAGAGTGTTGGTGTGTATTTATCTCTTATACCCCCTGGTGCGGGAGATGGCTGATGTGAAGGGCTATCTAGGCACGCCTCCGCGGGTGGTGGGGGCGGCTGGCGGTTTGTTTGGACATTACCAATATGTGAGGATAAGGCTGATGGGGCGTAGGCGGGGCGTGGCTACCAGGAGAACGACAGGTGGCATGAAATGATCTAACATGCCCAGCGGATAAAATGGAGATGAGATGTTGGGGGAAGGGAGTGAGGAGTGGGTTGTTACGCGAAATAACATGGGAACATAGACGTTTTCCCGTTCCTTTACTACTAGGACTTGATATTACAAATGTAGTCGTACATTTCCCAGGGAGCTTACCAGAACAAAATACAATGCATACTAAGAAGTACCTATACCAAACAAACCTCGAGAGGCCTCCCCTTCTTAGTTACCGCCCTCTCTTCGCAGCGCGCCACCAGGCTGATAATCAGCTGCCACTATCTAGGGGAAGGTAATGTTGACGTGGGCGACAGTTTCCGTCCGAATGCGTGAGGTACAGATAAGGCGAGGGTTTTGTACCTTTGGGGTGAAATGCATAAGAAATTCTGCATAGGTATAAACTCTGTACGACACGTCCCCAAAGCTAGACGTGACAGGGCGGCCGGCGAATCTTGAGACACAGCTCAGGCAGTCTAAAGATAATCTGGTCGCAATGATTCAGCCCGGGAGAAAATTTCTATACCTTAGCTGCAGTCGTATGAAAGTACACAGGTACAAAGGGGTAAACAAAAATATTCCACAGTGGAGCATAATCACGATCCTGAAAGATAGACGCTGGCAGACCCCGGCGGAATATGAACCTCCTCACCTCGAATATTTCTCGTCCTACTGATAATTAGTTGGGATGTTGATCCAAGCACGACCAGCCATAGTCACCATCATAACGCTCGGCGGGATTCGTTTACGTACGCCCGCGTCACAGCCCAAGTCCGTATACCTGCTCAGCCATAGGAGTAATTTCATGATATCCTCATACGCCAAATGCTCTACTTCAAAATATATGCGAGTTTGATAGGGTGAGTGATTGAACAAAACTGAATATAATGCTCTCCGCACGGTGGAGCTTCACGTACCAGTGTCTGCCTGTGTCGTAAGCTTAGTCGGCAGATGTTGCTATCTCTGAATAAGAGCATGCACATTGTCCCGAGCAGTGAGAGAAAGATGTGCTCTCGTGCCCAGACTTTATTCTTCTTTCGGGAACGAGAGCAGGAAAGATGTAACTTGGAGACTATGTCATATCGCTCGCGTTATTACCATCCTACATTCACAATTGAAAATTTTTACCACCAAACATCAAGGCAAGATGGCCGAGCGGTCTAAGGCGCCAGACTCGGCCGGAAAAAAGTTTCCCAGTTTTCAATCACGGTAGCCTTCTGGTCTCGAAAGACGCAGGGGTTTAAATCCCCTTCTTGTCATGATTCTTTTGTTTTTGTAGCTATCGGGTAGAGCACTTTTTGGTAATGAGTGGGGGAAGGGGAAGCGACGAGACAGATATTCGGACTCTTATTAGCTGCCCTGGTTAGTGCTGTCACGTGTGAAGAGCCGCAACTTAATTTAACCACACCTCAGTGCTGTGATCGTTTGTTTTTGCTGAGTTGAGATCCGAATGTAACGGCTTCATTTATCGACACACCGTTAGTATGATCCCTTTTTATTACCCTGGGACATTAGTAATGTGATTTACAGCTTTCAATAATACAGAGGAGATTCTAGCCAGCCAAAATATGGGCATCGCTTGAGACGGGAGCTAGATATCGATTTGCATCCCACAGGTTCAACGACATTCAGAGTTCCTGTTCCGTTTCTTTCACACAGCCGCGTCGTATTCCGGACGTTACACCCGTACCCCCAGTTGGAAGCGATTTTTATTGAACATATCGATTCCGCTTCATCATATATTGAAAAAATCCCCTTGCAAGAAAAATTATCTTCCGCCCGGGATAGTGTAGCGGATGATCTACGGAAGTGCAATGCATCAAGCATGTATGCAATATTCAAAACCCGCCGCCGCGTTACGACATGGTTCATGGCTCATCATAGGCATCTCCAAACCCACCGTTCTGCTGTCCCAGCAAGTACATTTCGTTTGTATCAACCCTCCACCTCCCACCACATTAAACGAGCTATAGCTACACCCAATCACCGCTCGCCAACCTCTTTTCCCTTCGGGGATCTACATCAAAATCCGCGCGGCCGCCTGCAAGAACCCACCTGCATATGCATGTATGAACGCCTGATCATGATATTTTATTCTATCCCAACAATTACTCCCCGTTTTGGTTGAATTTATGGATAGAATTGCCTCATTCCCAGAGTTTTTTGTGGTTCGAAAGCTCTGGGTTTCGAGGGTAGCTTTCAATGGAGGTTCTTGACTCTCACAGGGGAAAGGGGGTAGTTTTTGTGTGCATATACATTCTGCTTCGCCCCAAACCGAAAGCCGTAGAAGGCGAATATGCATACGGTACATTTCCCCATGGAATGTGATATCGATAAAAGAAAATGGCAGGATTTTGAAACCCATTGAAGGGGAGAAAATACATCTTCCACCTCATATTTCAAGAAACCACACCCTTCACATCATGCCTACTTTCCATCCAACATCATGCCATCTCAAAAATCCCTCTCAACATTAACTTCGAAAAAACCCCAAAAATACTCCCGAAGAATCCGGAGTGCTAGCACAACCAGTGTGAAATCCATCAAGCCCACAGCAAATATCCCATACTCAACCTACACCCCCACTCCCCGTCACTCCACCACCTCAACCTCCACAACAATCACAATAACAATTACAATCCTCCCAAACACCCCATCACCATCACTACCACCCCTCCCCCCAGCCGGCACCTCCACCTGGACCCCCGCAACCCGCACCGCTTTCGTGCTCGCACTAATCATAGTATTTCTATGCCTTGGGACGGTGGTGTGGGTATTACCGCGATGAGTCTGGGTCAGGGAGAAAACGCAGAGGGATGAAGAGGTGGGGTATAGTCATCAGCGAGGGGTTGATGGGCAAGGAGCTCAATGGGGTATGAATTGGGTGTTCTTCAACGTCAGGGTATGTTTGGGAATAATGGCAGCGGTGGTGGTGGCGGTCGGAAAATAACCAATAATGGTGACGGGAGCGAGCGGGGCGACGACGCCTCCAAAATCGGCATTGCATTGCGTACTGTAACTTCTTCGGCAGAGAAGAAGTTCCGAATGGGTGTTTTGGACCTGGGAAGGAGAGGCTGCTGGATACTGTCAGAAACAGGGCACGGAGCCGTGGGGGGAAATACCACGAATACCAACCCCTGAGAGTTGGAGCACCATAACCGTAGACTCTCATAGAAAACCATTGAGTTATCTAGCGATATCGGTTCCTATAGCTATGAACCGCAGCGATTCCAATGGAAGCGTTAGTGGAGTGGTGAGAATATAATGAGCAAGGCTTGTTACTCAGCTCCCCTTTGATCTAGCGGCGTTTCAAATCCGTGCATGTACATTTTTCTTTCGAACTTCAACCGTTTGTTTTTTTTGCAAAGATTTATTGTCGTATCGATTTACCCTTACCCAGGTTTAAGGCGTTGAGACCTGATCATGACGGATACCCGCACGAACCTATCCTACATCGACATGTGCTTCACGGGGTTTTTTGTTTGTCACGATGGTAACTGTTTGTATGTAGGAACGACTTGTCAGCTGCAATAACTTTTTCCCGTCGACGCGTCCCCCCCCCAAATGAAACTCATAACGATGCTGCTTCCCGTGGATGTTGTGGGGGGGTTCTAGAAGGATTCTATAACAAGTGGAGAAATATTATATACTGGAGGTGTTACAGTTTCTTTCTCGTTCTGCCACCTAGGTAGAGACCCGACAGTGAAGAGTAAGCCATGCCGAAAAGCACTCGTGGCGTGAGAAGTATCATGATCATCACACACAACGGAAAGCAGTCATGACGTTATTTCTTCCATCCACATCAGAGAGGAAAATACCTTTTTATATTGCAATGTATCTAGTAAAGATGTATCTAGTAACGATAGGTCAAATCCATCTGCCTAGGGGTGCGGTCTCCCATACATATATCCCAGTCTGAATACCAATCAACTAAATTACACGTATATTCCCATATAACATCTCAATGTAAGCCCCATAAACCTGTAAGTAGATCTAAAGCTCCATCCATCCTTCTTCCTTTCCTCCCTCCCTTCGCCATACCAACCATGCACCCCCAACTCCTCCACCCCCGCACAACCTTACAACAATCCTACGCCGACGCAAAAAAAGCCACCATAATTGCAATCCTCACTACTATCTCAGTACTAGCTCTCATCATTGCTATAGTCCACATATACTGTCGGAAACCACCCTCGCGTCCCGCCGTGGGGTTGGTGGTTATCAAGATGAGATTATCCTCGCACCTACTACACCCAGAGATGATGGTCATGGACATAGACATGGGTACCAAATTGTTGCTGCACTACCACCGATGGTGGTTTCACCCGATGAGAGGCCGAGGGTTGTTGGAAGAGTTGGCCGTCACACTGAAGGTCCGAGGGATAGAAGGTGGGAGGAGAATCATAATCACAGCCATAAACATGGGGGAATTCGAAGGTGGGGAAATAGTGATGGAGAAGATGATGAGATTGGGTGCTGTGAGTTAATTTTTGGGGATTGTGCTGGTGCTGGTGCTGGTGGTGGGGGTGGTAAGAATGATGGGAGGAGACGGCAGCAGTTAAATCATAGGGTTTATCGTAATGATAGGCTGCCGATGGGAGGTGAGTTTCCAGGCGCTGGAGGAGAAGGTGGGTATGTCCCAGATGATGAAGGGTATTCAGGTGGTGGAAGGGCTTATCCAGGAGTGTTTCCCATTGGTAGAGTGGGTGACGAAGCTGACGGAGATGGCGACGACCGTGGTGGATATTCGGGAGGCCATAGGGAAGGAGACGGGGGTGGAGGCGGGGGTGACCACGGAAGGGGTGGAGGGGGGGGAGGAGGATATCCAGGTGGCGGTGGCGGAGAAAGAGGAGGGAGGTATCCAGGGGGCGGTCGCGGAAGAGGATATCGTGGAGGCTGTGGGGGAGGTAGTGGAGGCGGCAGCGGAGAAGGAAGAGGAGGAGGATATCCAGGAGGTAGTGGAGGCAACGGCGGACGTACCAGCCTCCCCGCTTTTCCAGGCCCAATACCTACACACCACCAACCACACACCCACCCGCCCCAACCCCCTCGCCCTCCCCTGCACCATCACCACCATCACTACCACCAACGTCGACGAACCCGATCCCGCTCGCGATCCCGGCGACGAACCCACCCAACGACCCACCACCCCTATCACCACCTCTACCCATCAGCCGTAGGTACAGACACATCCAGCGACATTTCAGTACCACAACGCGCTGCTGCAAATCCAGGGTGCGAGACCCTATCTTGTTATTCTTTTGATTCCTCTCCTCCTCCTCCTCCTCCTCCACTACCAGCACATCTTCCTTATAATAATAACTATTCATATACCCACCCCGCGGTATTCACTTCATCGTCACCATCACTTCCACTCCCAAACCGTCAAAAATCAGATTTTCCGCCTCGCTCCTTCTCCTTTGATGATGATAGCCGGCAAAATTATGGCAATATTGACACATCCGCTTCGAGTACACTTACAGAAACTCTTCCTTCCCACCACAACCACCACCTGCACATATACCCACAGCAGGAACCAGACCTAGATGTCTCTAACACCTCGGAAAGTTCCCCATCCCCGGAACCAAGAACCGGGCAGCAGGAGCAAATATACCCCAGCTCAACATCAACATCCACAACCACCGGAACCCACCGGAACCCGGAACCCCACCCAGGCCGATTAGTTGATTTTTCGCGCGCTCCTTCTTCTTTTTCTTCCTCAACGTCATCTTCCTCAACAGAGACGATACGAGCACAGGTCTCTTCCGGCCCCCGGCCACCACAACCACAACCACAACAATGGCTTACAATATCCACCAACCAACTATCGCGGATAATCCGTAGTAGTAGTTCATCCAGCAACGCAGGGAGGGAGTATCGCAGGTTTCGGCTGGGGCTGGCGAGGAGCTCTTCGAGTTCAGTTAGTTCTCGGGGTTCAACTGTTCGTGTTGTTTCTCCACCACCACCACCACCACCACCGCATTCTCCGCCTATAGATTATGCAAAAGAAGAAAAACAGGGAGGAGAAGAAGCACACACTCCCGACACCCCTATCCCCAACAACATCGAAACCACCAACTCAAACAATACCTCTCTCTCCTCCGATTCAATATATTCACCTCCCCTCGGACCCCTAATCCGCCAAATCCTCACCCCACCACCACTCCTTAACACCCTGCCATCCTCTCCCTTCTCCCCCTGGTCCGCAATCGCAACGCCCTCCAACGTCTCAATCACAACCTTCATCCCCATCCCGAGT